CTATCCTCTGCTTTATATCCCTACTACTCCTTCCATCCTCACTTATCTGACTTCCTAGGTATCTAAAATCAGTCACTTCTTCTAATTTTTCGTCTCCTATCTTTATATTCGCTCTTTCCCTACTTTTTCTTCCCTTGCATACCAGTATTTTTATTTTACATTTATTTATTTACATACAGTACTGTTTTGTCAATACCGCTTCCATTTTATTTAAAGTTATCTCTAACTCCCCCTTGCTAGATGCTAATACTGCTATATCATCTGCAAATCTAAGCATACTAATCTTTTGCCCCTGTATATCTATCCCTACAGTTATATTGGTCTTCATAACTACTAAGTTATGATTGCTATCTATATCTGCTCCTAGATAACTCCTACAGTCAGAGTTTCAAGTATCATAAAATGATTCTACGACTTGCCCTCCTGTAGTGTCCATAATTTCTGGTTTTCGCGTGCAAAACTTATTCTGTCCCAAAAGTGAGCAGCAAAACTGTGCTTTTCCAATTAGGTATGTAATAAGTAAATTCGTCAAAAAAAAATTACGCTCTCGCTTCACGTTGTTCCATCACTTAACCGCAAGACTGGCCATTTGTATATCAGTAGGGTCTATATTTTCTATAAAGAAAAACTTTTTATTCAGTATAACATAACCCACTGAAAACTAACGTAATTTTAACCCTTAATATGAAGGTGAATAGCCGGATAAAGACGAATATATTTTGTCTAAGAACCGAAATGTAAACACATTCCTATAAATGTCAGTGACGCTTTGGTAGAAACGGTCAACGACGAAAGATATTTATTAATTTTACCAGAACAAGCATTAATTCATACGAAATGAGGTAACGAGGAAGTTCACCAATTAAAAGGTTCATTTGTATTAACGCTTCCGTATTGATGCCCCTTCATAGCTAAGGATATAAGTATATAAATTTAGAAAGAAATCTAAGTGAGGAACCTGTCTATTTGCCGTTAACTAATAAGACAATTGCTGTAAATTTAAAGTCCGTTGACTTGGACCAGTTGTCGAAAATAAATGTGCAAACGGCAGAATCTTTTTTTCTAAAACAATTGAAAAAATAATAACAATGTTTTCCCCTATATTATTGTAATTTTTGTACCATTGATAATTATAATTCCTATAATAATAATAACTACCAGAAAAGTATAATTTACAAGTTCATTTAAAAAATTCAAGATTCAAGTAAAAATAAAAAAAATAACGATTAGGGAAAAAAGAAATTAAACCACGAAGAGGAATTTATCGAATTAACCTTTCCTACTTCTTGCAAGAGAAACTTGTAGATACTATTTGGTAATTTCCTGTTTAATTCTTTAATTGATGAGAAATTCTTTAATTTTCAATATTGTAAATGAAACTTTATGGAATAAAGTTAAGTCTTAAGGACGGAGGAGTTAACCATGTGAAAATGCCTGAACTAATTATTAAAAATGCAGGGTGTACACTTTTCACATTAATAACGAAACGTATCATATTTCTTAGTATATAAGCCTTATGAGAAACAATTTTCTGAGTTCTAGTAGTTGTAGTGCATAGCACATTCCTGTAATATTTAAACCCCGTTATTGTAGCTAAACTTTAAATAAAACTAGAAAGTTTTTTGAGTTCTTTTTTTAAAAAGAGTTTTCTACGAAGTAACAACGTAACTTATGCCCTTTTGTAATCTTATTACAGCCCGTATACACGAATGCTCTTCGAGTTTCTCAAGCAGGTTTACCTGCAGGCGTTTTTACATGAAGTTATAAAAGTCTATTTTTAACATATTTCCTAGTTAATCACAAGTTGGAAAAGCCAACTAAAGGATATATTGGGAAAAGCATTCCCCGACATTCCCAAGATCATAGCTTAACATACGAGACACCACCTTGATTCCGGGTTCATCTGCCCCGGTCCAAGTTTTTCTGCGGTTTGCTTGAATCAGTTAAGGATTTAGACAAATATTCCACAGATAAAAATAACTAAAACTACAGTGTAGCGAAGCAATTGTCATTTCAATAAAAAGATTGCAAAGTTTACAAATTGTGTCAATTTATTTAAATAGATGAAAGTAAAACTTCTTAGGCTTGTGCAGAAGTAAACACTGCTATACTCCGAAACTCTATTTCATAAAGATAATCGTATAGATCAAGACGGAAAAGTAATAAATCATTTTCGATTCAGATGAATCTAACATATTTGCAGTGCCGTACACAAAAATTACGTAGCGTTAAGAAAGAAAATGTTTGTTTGATTAATCTGCTGTTAATTTTTTTGCATCACTAACAATACTCAATTTTGCTAACAACTTATACAACAATCAACACAAAATGATAACATTAGTGCCACAGTAAAAACGAAGACCTGTTTGTGGATTACCAATTGGAACTAATCTGATTCCTAGAGCAGTAACTATTCCTAAATACAGTGAAACCTCTCTCGAGCGGACACATTTACCTGATCCCGGCCGCTTTCCATAAGAAAAGCACTCTCCCATAAGCGGACACTCTCTTGTACGGACACGGATAGTAATTTTTTAAGATTTTTTAACAAAAATCTCTTCTGAAAGAACACAAAAATAAATAAAAGTATGACCTATTATTTGAAAGCTACAGATAACATATCAGTCCCACTAAAAACATCCTGAATACCTACAGTTGCCTTAACGAGTGTAGTCGGATAAGTTCCCAAAAGTTTACAATCCCAACGGTTTTAAATACATACATAACAATCCTATTGATTGTTTCATTATTTTAATAATAAACAACACTACATCAATTCTTTTCTAAGTAAATGCAAATTTGTTAATCTACCTCATCTATAAGACGAATTTTACGTTTAATTACTAGTTAATAAGAATCGGTGCATATTTTCATTACAATTACAGTAAAAGGTAATTAACAAATNAATATATAATTTAATAAAGTATTTGTTTATTATACGAAAACTGTCTTTCATTTCCACAAAAAAAAAATGAAATGACTTTCCGAACAACCCTATAGTTAACGTCTGACCTAAGCGGTTGGCCTTCACTAAACGCTATACCATGCGAACTTCCGGAAAACCGTATCGTAACCCTTCTCTCGAAAGAAAGTTTATCCTATCTATGTGAAAGATTTTCAAATATAAATCTGTTAAGGCGTTCAATGGCCTACGTCTTGAAATTAATTAACAAATATCGCAATATCGGATTTCTCAAAATGAGTCCTACACAAATTACGGTATATGCCGCCACCAAATGGCATTTCATTCAGGCCAACTCTCCCCATTTCGGAGGACTGTAAGTCGCTGGAGTGAAGTCCGTGAAATTCCATTTAAGAAAGTCCTTGGGAATCACTGTTTTATTTTATTTCGATTTTCAAACGCTACTCCTAGAGGTAATATTGAACTCCTGATCGCTGTTTCCTCTATCCAGTAACCTTGACGATCTTACCCCCTTTCTCCCGCTCATTTTCTTACAGACAGATCCACAATGTGCATCGCAGAAAGGTCACTACCCGAGGTCAAAGAAAATATGGTAGATCAGTATCAGCTGCATCAGAAGCTGTACAAAGCTTTTGGCGCCGTTGAAGCTGTGGTACGATTGTGTCCACTACCATTTAAAAGTTTGGACTTCCAAGGCCGGTAGCATGATCCGGCGTGATAAGCCACTGATTGGACGTGAACGAGCCCTTTTTTCTATGGTCAGCGCGACCATCTTTTAGTTATATGTTGTAAGTAGAAGTAGTAGCATGTAGTTGTAAGAAGAGGGTGTAAAATTTTGTTAATATTTAAAAACAAAAAATACAACGTGTAATTATACAACACGCTACTGAAGTGAAGTTCATCAAAGATATAAATGTACCGGGATAGGGGTTAAGGAATTGGTTTAATAGTATTATTTGTACAGTATGAATTTAAATTTTACACTATACATGCCGGAGTTGCCTGTAACGAATGTTGCATTAAAGCGCGCTCACGGCTCAAGCGATCTCCACTACGAACTCGACTACGTGGCCGAGTAGAGGGGGACATCCGTTACATGATTTCGTTACATAGCAACTCACATGAAATGAACTTACCCTACCGTGCGTAAAGAAGTTTCACTTCAAAAAAAAAGCGAATTCAATGCCTTACATTACACAACACGAAACAGCATTGTTACTTTAACCATCCAACTATCACTACAACTACAAATATAATTTAAATACAATTACTTGCTTTAAATAAAATTGAACTTTTAATGGGTATAATAAATTTTTATTTACAACCATACTTACGTGATACAATAAAATTTTTCCTACCATAAATTATTATCAATATACCTCAAAACTTCATTGAAAAAAAATATGCAAAGAAAACAAAAATCGTCAAAAATAACTTCTGTTCAAACTTTAATAACACTAATTGGGAAGGTGCAAATTGGTTCAAGTGTAACAAGTTCGTGTTAATATTACAATTAAACAAATTTAAACAGTGTACCCTTCTTTATGTGGCCTCAAATTTTAATTCACAAGAGTCACCAATTTGATTTTGCAGCTGAGCCATTGCCAACTGAGCTTGAAGAACGTTAACTGGAACAACAGGGGCCGGAAGCTTGATAGTTAAGGGAGGCGGATCGTCTGAATTACTTTCATCTGTTTTCTCTATTTTATGTATTGGCTTAAGTCTTCGGATATTACTAACAACATTCAGTCCTAAAACGAAATACAATAGACGTATTCGCTTTTAATTTCAACAATACAAATTACCATGAACTGTTCTTTTATGTTGCGTTAATAAGTACCCCATTAAGAAGCTCTCATTGCAAAGATCGCAGTGAAACCTCTCGCCGGTATGTCGTCGAATGTGAGCTTTTAAATCATTTCCTTGGGCAAATGCTGCATCACAATAGGTACATTGGTAAGGCTTTTCCCCGGTGTGCGTTCTCATGTGTACCGTTAGATTATAAGCCCTAAAAGTAAACGTTTTATTTTAGTATAATACAGTCAGCCTAAAACATAACATACCTTCCAAATCCTCGTCCACAAATTGTACACAAATGTGTTTTTTCACCAGTGTGATACCTTTCATGTACAGTTAGATCCGTAGTGCGGGGAAATCCTGAAATTAAAATATTTTAAACAGATATAGGTAACTAGTACTTTGTATTTGTTAATAATTTGGTAGCTTTCATAAAAATTATATTTTAAAAAAAGTTGGTATCTTCTTTTCTATTGAAAATTTATATACAGCCGAACCTAGATAAGTGAGAACTGGGTAAGCGAGAAAACTCATTTTGCCCTTCTAAAGCCTCTATAAGTGAGAAACATAAAACCTGTATAAGTGACAGTCATTTTTCATGCGTGAACCTCTTTAAGTGAGATTGCTACTTGCCTATACCTCTATAAGCGACAGTTTACTTTTGCTATTTTATGACTCGTTCTCTTATTTCATTCGAATGACCAAATCTGCGAATGACCGAGTAAGTCTTTATTATTTTATTATAGTCAAATGTGCTTACCGACTTGTTTATCAAATTTTTACAGTCAATTCATAAAAGCAGTTGCGAAGAAAGGTCCTGTACTTCCTCATAATGTCTAAACGAAAACTCAATGTGTTGTCGAACAGTATTTTTATATAC